AGAGCATTACAGTAGTCCAGGCGGGAGGTAACGAGGGCATGAGTGACTGTGCGCAGGGCGTCCCGGTCCAGAAAAGGCCGCAACTGGTGGATCAGGCGTACCTGATAAAACGCCCCCCTGGTCACGGCCGACAACTGGTCTTCCAGCGTCAGCCGCGAATCTAGGAGGACCCCCAGATTGCGCACCCTCTCCGAGGGGGCCAGAATTTCGCCCCCTATAGTCAGCGATGGAGTCAGCTGACTATGCCGCGGCGCCGGCAGCCACAGCCACTCGGTCTATATTATGATAGCCAGTTTAATTGTAGTTGTAGTCTTCCTGTGGAATTGTTTTCCTGGTCTGGTCTACCCAGTTGGTCTGACATCAATCTTGCAAGTCTCTTTCAAGAGAGGCTGAAGGTCTTGGCTTTGTTGGTAGAGATGGTCTTTGGTCTTCAGGGTACTCCATTCTCCACTGAGCACTTTGCTATAGCATTGTTGCAACACCAACAACAGACAGATTTACGAATAACTTGCAAAATGCCATGATGCAGCTAATGCAAAAGTTGGGATACAATTTAACTCGGCCAGCAGCCTATAGTGCAGCCAGTATTTCTGTGCTCTTATGAGAATTCCAGAGATCTCCGGACGAGACCAAGACCAATTCCTGACCTTCGTGATACAGCGTGGTCTATTTATGGCAGGCTGACCAACAGAATTTCCCACAAAGTGACTCCTGTGCTGAGTTTGCTGAAAGAAAGGGCAGCCAGATGGGCCATGCCTATCATTAAGGGCAACAAACCAGTGCTAGACAATTATTAAAACTTCATGCAAAGATTGAGAATTTAATGAAATTCAGTGGTGAAAAAAGTAAGGTTCTACATTCAGGCAAGAAAAACCAAATGTACAGGTATAGTATAGGGGATACCTTGCTCAATAGTAGTAACTGTGAGAGGGACCTCGGAGTCCTAGTGGACAATCACTTAAATATGAGCCAGCAGTGGGCTGCAGCTGCCAAAAAGGCCAACACAGTGCTGGGTTGCATTAACAGAGGGATAGAATCAAGATCACATGAAGTATTAATACCACTTTACAATGCCTTGGTAAGGCCACATCTGGAATACTGCATCCAGTTTTGGTCACCATGATGTAAAAAAGATGTTGAGACTCTAGAAAGAGTACAGAGAAGAACAACAAAGATGATTAGGGGACTGGAGGCTAAAGCATATAAGGAAAGGCTGCTGGAATTGGGTATGTCTAGTTTAATGAAGAGAAGGACGAGGGGGGACATGATAGCAATGTTCCAATATCTCAGGGGCTGCCACAAAGAAGAGGGAGTCAAGCTATTTTCCAAGGCACCTGAAGGCAGGACAAGAAGCAACGGATGGAAACTAAGCAAGGAGAGAAGCAACCTAGAACCTAGGAGAAACTTCCTGACAGTTAGAACAATTAACCAGTGGAACAACCTGCCTCCAGAAATGGTGAATGCTCCAACACTGGAAGTTTTTAAGAAGAGACTGGACAGCCATTTGTCTGAAATGGTATAGGGTTTCCTGCCTGAGCAGGGGGTTGGACTAGATGACCTCCAAGGTCCCTTCCAACTTTATTATTATTATTATTATTATTATTATTATTATTATTATTATTATTATTATTATTATTACTACTACTACTATTATTATTTCATGAAGATCCTAACTACAGCTGTGAAATTCAGAAACTCAAGCAAGGTCAGCAGAAAGTGTGGATGTATCGAAAGGTGTAAGTTTTAAAATTATTTGCCGGAGATGTGGAATGGAAAGATCTGGCTCTGATTTACCAATTTAGTGAGGGAGTTGTGACAAATTGAGACATGAGTTGGTAAGACAATATAACATAGATAATTTGGAAGAGCTGTCAGAAGAATTGGTCATGCAAGTCCTAAAATTCTTGCTGGTGGAAAGCATCAACATCCATATTTTGACATGGTGATCAAAGTCAAAGAGTTTTAAAGAATGGCAGGCAATGATCGCTGGAGGTTCCACTCCCTTCCATCAATAGCCAATTCTGTTGAGGTAAGTTGGCCTTTATTGGGTGTGGCAGTCATTTCCTCCCCCATAGATCATCCCTTTCATGAGGCTAAAATATTGTTGCTGACAAAGTGATAACTTTGGCAGAAGAGTGATCTGGCAGCTTTCTCTCATTCTCATTGTTTGACACATGGCAATTATCTTTACCAAATAGGTGATAAAATGCACAATCAATAGGGATGAAAAAGGAAAAAGGAAAAGAATTACAGTGAAAGACAATCTTATTTTAAAAATCCTTGATACAAACAAAAAAATAAGTTTAACACAGTTCATAGTATCACCCAGAAGGCGGTTTAATTTGTAGAGTTTGTTCTCTATGTAAATTTTGAAAATGATGTAGTGAAGCCAAGAGTTGGCTTACAAGAATAGAATAGAATAGAATAGAATAGAATAGAATAGAATAGAATAGAATTTTAAGAAAATCTCTAGTGATGGAGCGCCCACGATTTCTGGAGGCAAGCTGTTCCACTGGTTCATTGTCCTCACTGTCAGGAAGTTACTCCTTAATTCCAGGTTGCTTCTCTCTTTGATTTCCAACCATTGTTTCTTGTCCTGCCCTCTGGTGCTTTGGTGAATAAGTTAGGCAAAGCAATTAGGCAATGCAATCCTAAATCTATTTTTGTATCCAGCTGGGTTTCTTTGGGCCAGTCACTCTCTCTCAGCCCATTCCACTTCACAGGAGGAAGAAGGTATGTTGCATATGTTCATTGCTGAGTTATTTGTAAAAATAATAAAAGCAGAATACAAATAAATAAAAGAAAAATAAATCCCATTGACCTGAGTGAGGAAAGGATTGTAATCTTTGTCGCTGAAAGATGATCTGCAAATCTGGGCAACTAAAAAAATTGTTTTTACAATTGTTTTGGAATTCCCACCTGCTGCTATACTTATTTTATTTACTTATTGAATTTATTTGCCACTCATCTTGCTTCAAAGCGATTCTGGGTGGTTTACAGCATTAAAAGCATTAAAATCATAAAAAATAAATAATATTAACACTATCATGTATTGCTGTGGGGGAAACAACCTAAGAAACCTTCCAGATGTTTGGAGCTGCAACTTCCATTAGCCCTTATCAGCACGGTGAACAGATTGTGGGAGTTATAATCTCAAACAGATACTTGATTCCTTCCTTTGACAAACTCCATAGCTATTAAACACAACTGGAATTAAAAGGGCTCTCCAGTCAGTATTTTGGGGTTAGATCAACAGAGTTGGGTTTTCTTTTGTAAGGAATATAACTGTTGTGGCCCAAAGGAACACATCAAGGGTATCCTATATACAATGAAATGCCATTTGCTTTGAAATGTCTAGATAATAATGCAACACTGCTTTTTTGATGTGGTTCACTGACTGTTTTCATCACATCAGATGTGCACTTTCATTATATCAAAGGCCATCCTTTGAAAGACCCTGCTTGGCATCACACCCCAAAAGAAGATGGAAGCACAGCAACAATTCAAGAAATTGCAGGTTGAAGATTAAACAATTAAAATAATTGATAGCTTATAAGCAATTTACTCTGTTGGTTCTTTAATTCACACCTCCCTGTAGACAATTCTTCGCAGCATAATTTTATACATTTCTACTCAAAGGTACAGTAAGTTTTGGTCATTTGAATGGCAGTTATTTCCACAGGAATGGGCAGAGTATCTTAGTCCGTTTCCACTATTGTTTTAAAAAACGTTTGCCAAAGTATTCCCTTAGCAAAAAGTGTAACATCTTTGGTTTGTTTTGGCAAATTTGCAGTTTATTATTCTAGAATTTAATATAACTAGTGCTGGTTTATTTTAATTAATACTATTTACTCAAATTGGTATATTTTTAAAATTTGTGTTTCTATATTCCATAGTTCCAAGGAGTAAAGATCCTGCTTTCTTTCTTTTCCTTCTTTTTGCCCTAGTTGTGGAATACATGCCACCCACCAGAATTAGTGCGTCCAACTCTGGAGAGGACATTAAAAATTTTGCAGCTTGACTACGTTGATCTCTATCTTGTTGAACTGCCGATGGCTTTTCAGGTAAAGTGCGGTGCTGGAGCGCCTCCTAGAGTATATGATTGTGAACTGTAAATACTTAAAGTCTCCTTGGCAGACCATTATTTTTTTTGGACAACATTCCACAATTGTAGATCACCACATAGTAAAGAGCTCAGTTGGCAGAAGACCAAACCTGGAAGTGAGACCACAGATTTATATTGACTGTCTCTGTCCAAAGACGCATTATTGACAACTTAAATATCCCTATTTGTAAAGCTGTTGTATGATGACAGCATTCAAATATGTATGCATTTTTCTTGATTTCAATTTGTACACATGCAAGGATTCTGGCAGCAAGAATCCACCCAAACATGGATTCAAGAGCTTTTTATTGAATTGATGACAATATGAAATGATATGGAACTGTGGTGGTCAAATATTTTATGTACATATTAGGACTGTGCAAAACCTTTCAAAAAGGTTTTTCGCTTTTCACTTGCTTTACTGTTTTGATGAGAGGGGTTCTGTGCATGCTCCGGTGTGTTGTGAATCGCTTTCTTATTTTACATTCCTATTTTAGATATGCAAATTATTAGCTGATGTGCTAATCAAGTAGCAGATCGTGCATGTAAGATCCTGGCCTTCATTGCTGCCATGTATTATTATTTTCCCTTCTTGTAAAGTAGTAGTAAAGCTGCCCCAAAGGTGCTTTATCAAGAGGCAACTGGACTTCCTTTGTTTTTTCTTGAAGGCGTTTTGCGTCTCATCCAAGAAGCTTCTTCAGTTCTGAAGCTTCCTGGATAAGAAGTGAAACATCTTCAAGGAAAAACAAAGAAAGTCCAACTGCCTTTTGAAAAGCATCTTTGGGACAACAATGACCTGGATGACTGAGAATCTCCATAGACATATAGTGGTAAAGATGTGGCAGTCAGACATGAATTTTCCTATTGAACATGCACAAGATAGAATATAATGATTTATGTCCAAGAGTTCCCTTCTTTCCAAACAGTCTTAATCAGTGCTTTTTTTGAAAAAAAAAAAAAAAAAGGTGCTGGAACTCACACACGTCGTACAACCCGCCTTGCCTACCCTACAAGGTTCCATCCAAAAAAGGTGCCAGAACTCCATTCTGGGCGTTCTATGACAAAAAAAGCCCTGGTCTTAATTGCCCATAAATCAGTCAATACCAAATATAGAAATTGACAGTCTTCTGTACAGGAAAAGCTTTGGGCAAACTGTTCCCTTACAGACTAATTAATATATCAGGCTACTGCAACATGAGCCTTTGTATCTCATGCTAAAGGACACAAAGTGACTTGCTGCGTCAGCACTAAATTGAAACGTGGTTTACATGTCATGGTGGATGAGTTTGGACCTTATAATTAGTGTTTTTATTTATTATGCAAATGCATGGGCCACCCAACTCCAATGGATTTGTGTAATCACATGATTCATCTGACTCCCAAAGTCACAACATACTATATGTTGCCAATGTTCCATTTGAGCCCCTTGACTTTCACCATTAATAGCGAGAGTTGGTGGGTGGATAGTGGCAGGTTCTTTCACTTATAAGCCACATCATAGTTTTGCATATTGTGTAAAGGCCACCTTCTATATCATAACAATCACAGTAAGGCTAAGGGTTCTGTGTAAGTCAGTTTATAGTATAGCCCTAAAAGACCAGCTGGGCTAATCTTTAATATGATCATTTTCAATTAGGCACCATGAAATGCATTGGGTTTTAACTGAAATAATGCCATCTGTGGAATTCCAATACATATGCAAGACACTAGGTTGGAGGTAATAGCTTAAATATAATAAAATTTCCTGGCACTTCTGATATCCTGGAATGGTCCTACGAATTTTCTCCCTGCATTTTTCAACCTGTATGACTCCTTGCTACATCCATGTTTATTAATACATTTATTTTCTGCCACATGTTTACAGTATAACTAATACCATCAATTATAAAACTCTACCAAACTTGTAATTGGTATATTGTAATCCAGAAGATAGTTATGGCATTAATTACAGTGTGACCTGCATAATAGAGCATGGGATTATCACAAGTTCTTTTAACTACACCAATTTGGTGGGCTCAAGACACAAAAGAGGCAACACGAGTCCCTAAACAACACGCACACAGAAGCATTCCCAAGTTATCGCTCACTATTTGTTACTGCTCCACTTTTCCCCATTATAGTACTACTACTATTCCAACTACTACTTCTTGTGAGTGCAACTATTCCTACTCTTTGGAGTAAGGAATAGTTGCTGGAGAAAATTGTTTTGTTCTAGCTGTTTTACTTCCATATACAAACACACACCTCAGTCTGTCATTCAGACAGACACACATAGACAGATAGACAGACACCAGCTGTTCCTCAGCATAGCTTTTATACCAACTTTACCTTGCTGAGTGGCAAGAAGGTTTAAAGAGACAGGGCAACAGCAGTCAGGTGCTGGCCATTTTCTGGGCAGCCTGCTCTCTCACAAGGGGTAAGTAGCTTCATGTGAAGAAATAGCATAGAATTAATTTGTCTCTGCTCTGAGAGCTTAAGGGAAGATGAACCGTATATCTCATTCTAAAGTGTGAATGAATCGAATAAGGCACAATTGGCATTCTGTTCAATGCAATAAATCTCAATACGTGCATAGTTTCCTGCCACTTTGCAAGTAATAGGATTTCCCCCTATGAAATATACAAATAGTATTTTTCCTACTCTTCCTACGATTCCTATGAATCACGTTGGAATATAGGTGACTAACAAAGTGTTGGCAACTGCTTCTTTTTCCCCACTTCCACCCACAAAATTCCTTTGAGATTTCATTAAAAAAAAGAGGATATGTTGATTATTCTAGAATTCTGTTTGGGCTCTCATTTCTATTGGCATCCTGCCTAAAGAGAGGGAGGGAGCCCAGCTGTACATTCCCGCTGGCTAAATCACAGTTTAGCAAGCTAGAGATCAATGTTCGGCTAATATTGTTCAATTTACGGTAAAGTGAGAGTAATTCAGAATATCCATTTGTAAAGCTACCCAGTCACTGTTAATTATAATGGAGATGAATTTCAGAGGCAGTGCCAGTCTTCATTCAGTTTTTTTCAAAGGGAAAACTCTAGAGAGCCAGCTAGGACTTGGCTGGTACAGGGATCTTGTTCCTTTCCCCCTAGTTAGAAAACATTCTGCTCCAATGTCTAGTTGCCTTTTGGCAAAACCACCAAAAGAAAGACATTCTAATCTCTCGAGATTAATATAAAGAAATTAGTTCAGGTGTAAACAATCTAGTATCCTTCAGATGTTTAGGCTTCAACTCCCAGAACAAGAGATTGTGAGAGAGATACTCAAAAACATCTGGAGCACATCAGGTTGCTTACATGGGACCTGATACACATTGGTTCTGTCATATCTGACATACATACATCTGATGGTTAATGTTCAGTAAATTGAAATAGCTTTGAGGTCTTCTCTCCAAATATCTACTTTCTCTTCAAACTATAGGGAAACTGTCTCCCTGTCCAAAATTAACAGAATATTGCAACCTTGTGAGATTTTATCTCTTTTCCCCACCTTCCCATGTGACTTTTTTGTTTCTTCAGCCTGGAGAAAACCCCTATCCTAAAGATGAAAATGGAAAATGGCTTTATCATAAAACAGATCTATGTGCCACGTGGGGGGTGAGTATTTAGGAAGCATTAATCGTATCATAACTAACAATATCTAAAACCTTCTCATAGTCCTTAGGATATCTCTTCCAATAAATTTAGAATGGAAAAGAAAGTTAGGTTCCATTGTACACTTGAACAGCAATAGATTCTGAGTTGTATGCTATACTGAAGCAGTAATATTGGTCTTAAACCTAGGTGTGCTCAAGATTGATCAATCTAGCTGTCTGTGATATGGAGGGATATCATTTTGGCAAAAATAAAATAACAACATAACACTGCACAATTCAGGAATGATCTGTTTACTTAATTGACCAAAATTATAAAGTCACAAATAGTGGAGCAGGTTATCAGGTATGATAAATATGGCATGCATCCTGTAATTTGTAAAACATTATTATTTTCATGATATTTGGAGAGTTAAGCCATTTTAGTCTTTACAGTAAGTTTTATGGCACATTAAATATTTAATTCTATTGAAGTTTTTTTAATTGAACTCAATATATATCCAAGAGAGCATAGAAACGTTTGGTGGGCTTAATGATATTGTTTTTCTGGGAAGTAGAATTATTTTCAAAGTTTGAAGACAAAGGAACCAAACTAGGAAGAATTTAAAAGAAATGAAAGGATTGTTCTTGTCAGATCAGTGTTGCAAAAAAAAACCCAAGTGGTATGTATTCCTTAAAGGCCATTATCTTGTACAATGTTTTACAAGGATCATTAGTATTTTCTCCCTTCTCCCCTTCTTGCAATTTTTGTTTTCTGTTGCTTTTTCCCTGTCCATCTTCTCTCCCATCTTCCTTTTCCTTAATTTGGTCACATTTTACTCTATGCACATTCTTATACCTGATTTTCTTCATTAAAATTCTTGCCGAAGTATAATTTCTGTAGCCAAGAGCAAACTTTGGTGGGGGATGAGTCAACCTGTCCTTCTTTCTTCTTCTCTGCCCTCCTCCACTGACTGCCTCTCAGCTGTGTAAACCTGAATTCCCATAGTTTCCTAATCAGCATGGCCATTGCTGTGAATGGGCCTTCCATTTCTGGGAATTGGTACACCTGAGGAGCACTTAGGTTCATCATGGATTGTTTTCTTATAGCAGCATCACAATTCCACCACACTTATTTATTTTGTTCTTCTAAGCAGTAAGAATATTATTTGCCAGTTTATTACACTGTTTTGCCTACTTCATTCTAACAGGCTTTGGAAGCATGCAAAGATGCAGGCTTGGTGAAATCTCTTGGTGTATCCAACTTCAATCGTAGGCAGCTGGAAATGATTCTGAACAAGCCAGGTTTGAAGTACAAACCTGTCAGCAACCAGGTAATGACAGTGAACAGATGAGCCCATGTAAGCATGTTAACTTTCTCACATAATGAATGGCATAAGCCATTGGTCCTTGACTAAGGTATCTAGCGTCAAGAATATCTTGTATGATGTATCTTCATGATTTCCTGTCATAAAAAACAACTGTGTCATTTTTCATATATTTCTCCTTCCAGGTTTGTTTTTGGTTTGCTATAAAACATAAGATAAACAAATATGTTACTAAAAACAAACAACAAACAAAATCCTAGCTTATTCATTCAACCTTCCCCACAAGCCTTGCATTTTTGGCTAAAATGAACAAGCAGTCAATTCATACTCAGTCAAGACAAGCATAAAATTATGTTAATTTTCTGCTCAACGTTTAATCATGGGAAATTAAAGTAATTAATTCCACTCTATTACCAGAAGAGGCCGTTACCCCTGGGAGGAGGGAGGCATTTGGTGCAGTGACCATCTGAAATTATACTTAAATGTGTAGTAGTTCAGAGAGTGCTTCAGATAAAGTCAGAATGGTCTTATTTACTCTGATTAACAGCTTTTTAGTGTTTCTGAACTGGGTCATCTGATCCATAATTTTTAAGTAGATGTGTAGGAGACAAATGTTTATGAACATACCATGTACAGTACCATACATTCCATGAAAAAAAAAGTTGGGAAATAAGGTGAACCAGCTAATGTGTTATATCAAAGATAGGAAATCACAATTGCATTTGATTCAAACATGTGAAAAAATACTAAGAAGATAATTTCTGGATTTTGTTGAATTGGCTGTTGCTAGTTGGGGGTGGGTGGGAGGAATCATAGAAAAGGAGAGGTTTGGAAGTGATGTCTGGAATGATGGCTCTTTTTCTTTCTAAAGATCCATATCCCTTATATCAAACTGATCATGAATGATTAGGAGCAGATACTTGGAAATGAGATGCTACACAGCTCAGAAGGCTAGGCCATCAGAAAAATATTGTGGACCTTATTATCTTGCAGACAATGAGGTTCTAAGGCATATCTGGGTTTTTGGTTTTGTTTTTTAATATGCAAGCTTGCTGAAAGCAGACTAAAACAGTTTTCTTGGCAGTTGTAAAAGGTCAGTGTGTTCTACCAGTTTGAGCTTATAGTTAAAACACGTGGATTAGCCTTAACTGAAATCTTCCTCCACCCCTTTAGAGGGCCCCACTTTAGCCACAGGAGATTCTATGGATTAGAACTTGTGTTTCCCTTGGCCTACCATTACCTTAAATGTCACAGACCATTCAGATGCCTGGAGTAAACTGGAACACTTCAATGAAGCAATAACTTCTTATTAGCTGTTTAATTGGCCAGGCTACTCAGTGTCCTGGGGAGTTGAATTTTCTCCTTCCGTGCTCCAAACTTGCACTGTTTTTGCAAGGAAATCATACTGAAGATACAACCATAGGAATTGCTTAAGTATTTCAGTGCACTTTGAACTAAAATATTTGCAAAAAGCATATATCTTACTAAAATAAGTTATACCAATATAGCCCCACCCTCCATTTTGGGGGAGGAAAAAAAAGTTGAAAAGATTATAAACCAGGACATGGTTAGTTCTAGTCCTGACTTAGGCATGAAAGCTGGCCAAGTGACCTTGGGCCAGTCACTTTCTCTCAGTCTAGGAAGAAGAAGACAATAGCAAACCACTTTTGAAATCCTGTGTGGAGAGAGAGAGAGAGAGAGAGAGAGAGAGAGAGAGAGAGAGAGAGAGAGAGAGAGAGAGAGAGACTTGATTATGCCAGACCCAGCTGAATTGAGTGAGGTCTCCTAAGTTAGTCTGCACATTTTTGCCAGTTCTACAAAATGCAGCTATACAGGCTACATACCAGAGACAGAAATCTGTACAAGAAAGAAAGCTTCTTAATACTTCCCCAGTTGATGCTTTGTCCTTTAGAAGTTGTTGCTTTTTGCAAAAATAAATACAGCTAACTTTGTTTTTGTTTCCTAACCCCGATTTTTTAAATTCTGCATTTCCCACGCCTGTAGATTGAATGTCATCCATACTTCACTCAACCTAAACTTTTAGAATTCTGCAAATTGCATGATATTGTTCCTGTTGGGTACAGTCCACTAGGCACATCAAGAGATGACAGCTGGTAAGATTTTGCATTGAAAAAGAGGAGGAGGAGGAGGAGGAGGAGGAGGAGGAGGAGGAAGAAGAAGAAAGGAGGTGTAATAGTGAAGCAAATGTTAAAGGATTTATGGTTTAAACAGAGAAACAGAAATAAAGAATGTTTTGTCATGGATCAATTGTGATGTTCCATCATTGAGATTGACATGGCATGAAGAGAGAAACAAATGTGAGGTAAATCATCAGAGTAGAAGTCCTCCTGGACTACTCATGCTAGCAAAGCAGAAAGTTGAATGGTGAGGATGATGACAGTCAGCTCTAACATTTTCCTGATCCATCCTCACTGAACTCCTTTTTTCTTTTAATGGCTGACAATGCACTACTAATAGAGAAGCAGAGAGGGATCAATTCTCTAATTATATGTCCTGCAATTTGTCCTTTCCATACAAGTCCTGTTTTATTTTAATGCTACAGCCATCAGAACTTAGCCTCAACTAAATGGGCTCATTTTCCTGATAATCACAAAGCGTCTTTTATTCCCTAACAAAAATAAGAGTTCAGACAAGGATTAAGAGTAGGATAGTCACCTGATTTCAAAATAGCATTTTGATTATGTGCCATCAAGACATTTTTGATTCCTAGCAAGCACATAGATACATTTTCTCCAAGACAATCTATCCCTAACATGTTCTTTCATGCCTCCCAATGGTGCAATTGTTGCTTCTATGACTAAGCCCATCCACCCCATCCATCCACTGCTACTTGTCTTCTTTTCTTTCTGTCTCTCTTTCCCAGCATTGGAGCTGGGTTGATTCGTTCAATGATCCATTGGTTGCTTTATTGGCTGTCCAGGATATCCTTAGGAATCTCTCTATACCAAAGTTCAAAAGCTCAATGCTCTTCATAATCCTGTTTCCTTAAAGTCCAACTTTTGCTTCCATAGAGTGCCATAGAGAATACTATAGTTTGCACAATTCTGATATTTCTAGGTGTATTATTATATTACTGCATCTGAGTATCGAAGCTATCTATCACTTTGATGTCTTCATTGTCAATTCTAAGGTTGTTTGTTCTACCTGCTATCATTAATTAGATGGTCTTTATATTTAATTTTAGTCCCATTGTTTCACTATACTCTTTGACTTTTAATATTGGGGCTTGCAGATCCTGTGCATTTTCAGCTATTAGGATAGTGTCGTCAGCATAGCACAGGTTATTGATGTTTCTTCCTCCATCTTCTTTCAATCCAGCTTCTCTTAATATATATTCTGCATATATAAATCTCCTTTTTTTGGTATTGGTTATGTACATTGACTTCTTCCTATTGCTTGGTTACTGTGTCATTCTTCCAATTTGCTGGCATAGTTTAGCTAGAACCTTGTATGATTTTTATTCTGTTGCTTGCCATATTTCATTGCGTATTCTATCAATTCCTGTAGCTTTCCAACTTGCATACTAATTTGAGGCTGAAACCCCCTTCTGAGTTCAGAGATCTTTTGAAAGATTTTCCCTGTTTTTCCATGTTTGTTTTAATGTCTTTACAGGTGTTATTGTAACACCATTTCTTGTCTCTTGTAATATGTGTCTGAAATGCTTTGTTAAGTTAATTTCTGAGAGTTTGGGCTTTGGATTCTCTTATCTTGCATGGTTTGTTCTGACATCCACCTTGCTTTCTTCTCTTTCTTTGTTTTTGACAGTTCCTTTTTTACATTCATCCTTAGCCGGCTCCTTAAATTCATACCATAATTCTTCTCTCAATGAAATTCAGGACTTCAAAGCAATTCCTGATGTTCTCCTTGAAAATGGTGGGTATATGTTCTAGATCATATCAGGGAAACTGACTGGTTTTTTTCTTCTTTAGCTTAATGTGGAGCCTGCATATGAGCAATTTGTGATCTGTTCCACAGTCAGCACCTGGCTGTCTCTTTGATGGTATAACTGAGCCCCTCCAGTTCCTTTTAACACTAATATAGTTAATTTCTATGTACTCCATCTGGTGATGTCCATGTATAGAAACATAATTTTGGATGTTTGAAGACAGTGCTAGCCGTGAAGAAATCATTGGAGTAGCAGAAATGGATAAGTCAGTCTCCTGTTCCTTTAACTTTCCTAAGCCATACAATCCAACTACATTCTCCTTCTTCATGTTTCCAGCTTCACCATTCCAATCACCAATCACAAGCAACATATCTTGCTTGGATGTTCTATTAAATTATACATAGAAAACAAACCATAGTTAATATTCTGATTCAGTACTTTTACTTAGAAAGAAAGCAACATTAGAAGTCTTGATCATCCTAATTCGTGGCTGAAATTATGTAATTTTTGAAGACATGAATTTTTATTTGAAAAAAAAAATAGAAGATGAATAAAAATGTGTATAAAAGACAAATAAAAAGTATGCATCAAATAACAACCAGCACAGGAAAATATAAAACATGGAAAAACAGACTCTTTCAATGCAGAGCAAAACCTCTATGCATGAAAATATTCAGGAGAAGATATGTGTCTTCTTGGCCGTGACTTCCATTATTGACTTGGAAGAGACATTCCTTTCTATATTAAACTGTCTCAAAGAAGAGATAGATGACCTCTTCTAAGGTCATGTCTTCTGCAGATGTCTTAAATTCTTCCATTCTAGCCAATTTACTTAAAAAAAAGCTGAATACATGGTTTAATGCAATTGAAAAAAAATTAATTATATATTAGTGCTACACATAAAAACAGTTGTCCTCTACTATGGCAGCTAAAATCATGCTTTCAGCCTGAGGACAACCTTTGAGTTTCAGTTGTCCTTTCACCCATCTGTTCATATGCTGGCACGGTTTGATTTCCCCAGGGAACTAATTCTGCATCCATACGTAACATGCCTCAGTTTGAACAAGGATCAATACTGCATCTGATTTAGTAACGGATGCACTTTTGATTATTTTCAAACTTGATCACAATAGTTGTTGTCTTGTGCCAGCTCCTTTTCAACCCCATGTTGTAATCTATCTATCTTCCTCCTAAGGAAAATCTGATTCTTTTCCCTTTGTGTTTTTTTACAAGGGTGAATGTATCTTCCCCTCCACTCTTGGAGGATCCCCTGCTAAATGCCATTGGAAAAAAATACAAGAAGACAGCTGCTCAGGTGGCCCTGCGCTTCAACATTCAGCGTGGCGTGGTGGTCATTCCAAAAAGCTTTAATTCAAACCGTATTAGAGAAAATTTCCAGGTAAACTCAATGAATGAATGCAGTGTACATTCAAAATGACCCAGATTCTTTCACGGACAGAAGTCTTCAATATTTTAGAGTTAGAGTCTGTTACAAGTGCCATTACTATTACTCTATCTCCAGTTATATCTGGGTGGAGATATTGCAGTTGTGATTCATTCATTGTAACTCAAGAATGAAAATCATTCTACACCATCAGCCTTCTTTAACCTTGCACCTTCCAAATATATCGGTTTACAACTCTCATCCTTTCCAGCCAGCATGGCTCTGGAGGAGTTTTCCAATCCAAACTATTTGGAAGAAGTCAGATTGGATTAGAAACCAGAGGGAATAAAAAATCAGACATCTTTTTTTTCCATCTCCATTCTTTCAGATGTCTGTAACACCTTTTTTATACATTTTGAAAGTTACAAGTTGTCCCCTTTAAAAAAGCAGATAAATATAGTAGGTAGCATAAATGAGAGCATCTATTTCTCAGATGTTACTGAACTATAGTTCCTAGCACTCTCAGATAGAGTGGCTGCTGCATGTTGAATTTCAAAACTTCTGAAGGAAAACAGATTCCATATCCTTAGAAATATTATAGACTGCTGGATTTGGACTGATTAAACTAAGGCCAGTCATGTTCTTACAGGGTGACATAACATGTGATAAATGTGAATGCCCTCTTTCTCTCCTTTTTTTAAAAAAAAAATCCTTCAAGGGATTGCTTCTTTCTTTCCATACAGTCAATTAAATTTGCTATTTTGTATCCTCATTTTAAGTGTCCTTTTTGCAATGTACTTATATTATGTTTTTCTTCCATAAGCTGCTGCTAGAACATGGCTAAGAGTGGCTAACAAACAATAATGAATAAAAGCAGGGTGAAAACAAAGTTTTCACCAAGTTACTTTCATAATCTGGTTGATTAAAATACTTGAGATACAATTGACAAAAGTGAACAGTGTTGTGCCTAATTATACAGGTTCTGTGACAAGTTACTTGTGAATTTGCTATTAATCTGCTTACTGTCATTTCCCACAAAGCTGTGGGAAGAAGGGAAGAAGTTTGAAGGCTACCTGCCTTTTGTGAATTAGCAGTTGGGACATTATTAAAAGACATGTTTAATTACTACTCATATGAACATTTTTTTTTCTTTTTTGTGTTAAGATCTTTGACTTTTCTCTCACTGACAAGGAAATGAAAGATATAGAAGCTCTGAATAAAAATGTCCGCTATGTGGAACTTTTAATGTAAGTCCCTGAATAATTTCAAAGATTGACAACAGGGGGAAATTTGTGATTTTTATGGGATACTCACTACTACACTGTCACTTTTTATGAAAATAAAATTGGGGGCCATAAATGACTTTTAAGCAGCCTGGGAAATGTTTGGTTTCAGCTTTGTATGTCTTGTGAACTTGCCCATCCATGCTTTGTATAACACATGGCTAAAACTAGAATAATGTGTGAAGAATCCAGGATCCTAAATAGCCATCATATTGGATGGATCTCTTGAGCTTCACACTTTGCCCATCCTTAGGACATCACAGAGCAGTTGCTAATAGCCAAAACCAAGAATTCCTTTGATAGGAAGTTGGCACAAACCAATTTTCTGTTAATTCATCGCTCTCCTAATATTCATGCTCCCATGAGTACAACAAAGATTAAGGTTATATGGGAATTATATATCAGTTTTCCTTTAAAAGGTAGGTTCACTTTTCCTCAAGCCCTTACCTCAGCACATAGAAACGTCATCAGTACCACAGAGTTCTATAACTAAAAACAGGGGAGCATCCCTCATGTACTTGAGACAGAAATTGGAATATAAAATCAATAGATAAATGCTAAGATCCATGACTCCTTCATATATTGGATTATAATCTCCAGAATTTTTAGCCAACTAGATAGTTTTGATTCTTCAGTCTTCCCACAGTGCAACAGTCTCTGCCATGAAATTCTGTTCATCCTGAAGCTGGAAAATGGCTTTAGGTTTCCCCTAAAAAGATTTAGGAGCACAACAGGCTATTTGATGAGGCTACTGCTCACCTTATAATTGATAACATTGAAATTGGTGTCAAGAAATCTGCAGAAGAATAAACTGTGTAAGAAATGACACCAAGAGAGGCTAGGTTTTATTTTACACACTCCAGCCTGCTGGAATCTATCAAGACTATCCGTGTCCTTAGATAACCAAATGAAGGTTCCAGCTTTAGCCTCAGCAGCCTAATTAAAAGGGTTAGCTAGTCTTAAATTGGATGCCTGGCAGTCCAAAGAAACTAACAAATAGTTAGCCAAACTAAAAAGGCCAGAAACCTTTGGCAGTACAGAGAGCTGAAACAAAATTCAGTAATGGCTGTAGTCCTCAGCATATATAGCTAAGTCAGCAAGTGTTAAAAGATGTATAATTTTCTTTCACTTCTCAATAGCCAAGCAATACTTTGGACATGTCCTTTACCTAGGACAGGGGTCTCTAAATTTGGCAACTTTAAGACTTGTGGCTTTTCCTATGGTGGCTGGGGAATTCTGGGAGTTGAAGTCCACAAGTCTTAAAGTTACCATGTTTGCAGACTCCTGACCTAAGGCTTAGATGTAGATCAGTGTTTCTCAACCTTGACAATTTTAAGGCATGTGGACTTCAACTCCCAGAATTCCACAGCCAGCAATGCTGGCTGTGGAATTCTGGGAGTTGAAGTCCACATGCCTTAAAATTGTCAAGGTTGAGAAACACTGATGTAGATTGTAAAATTCCAGACAGCAAGCCAGTCCCACAAAACTCATTGAGTGATTTTAGGCCCCCACTGTCTCAACCTAATCTACTCAAGCAAGTGAGGTGGAGTTAAGATTAGGTTGTAAGTCACCCAAAGTCATTGGATATGAGATGGGCAGCAAATAAATTTCATAAAAACAAACAAACAAACAAACAAATAAGATTGGGGCCTTGAGCTCTCAGAGAAAAGGAAGGATAAATGCAACTAATACGCTTACTAATACTAAGTCATCAAGCTGAGTCCATAATCTCCATCAATCATATGAAAATTAACCTGTCTCATTGTGAGATGTTTTTTCAACTTTCCAGCCTATCCAGATACTTGCTGAAAATCTTTCATCCAAGTAATAACCCAGTCTGACCTACCTTAGCTTCTTGAGGTTAATTTCAAGGTCAGCTGGTGCTGCCAGCTACTGTCACTACACTAGAACTAATAGTAATATTCTCTCCATTAAATATTTTAATACAATGCTCAACAAAGCTGCAATGACAACCAGCATTTTCATTTCTTCAGAGGCCTAAAGGGAGGTGGGACGCCAGGAAGAACACCTAATAATATTAATATACAACTGTGGTCTTTCTGCTACAGCTTCCAGTAGCCTGAGGCATCATGGGCCATACTAAATAATATTGAGAGTTCTGGTTTAGCAATTCTGGGAGAGCTGCAGTATTTTCATTCCTATGCTAGTTTTGCTCATAGCAAATGCTGTTTGTGAACCAGTTATGTGACTGTGGTTATTTTAAATTGATCTTATTAATCCTAGCTTCTAATTTCCTGCAGGTGGAAAGACCATCCTGAGTATCCTTTCCTTGATGAGTACTGAAAATTTTGGGCATCCAAGAACAAACACTCACTTGTAGTGATCTCAGCTAATATCTTATCTGGTAGCAGTTTGTATCTGGTGGTAGTTCTTAAGTCACATAGCCCAGTCCAATCCTTAGTGCTACAACTTATGTGGTGAATATACGAAATAAAGCACATTCAGAAAAATGTTTTAAAACGTAGTGTGCAAATACAGCCAAAGGTAAACTTTAGTAGAGGAAGACAGGATTGCCTTTTTTTTTTTACATAGATATGAAATATATATCTTTCTTCAGCTGTCTCAAAACTTGTCATGATTAACACACATGAAAGAACAATTCTGGTTAAGCCTGCAGTGAACCAGAACTACTGGATGCAAAGGCAGGAAACATTGATTGAGGGCAGCAATTATTCCAAGTAAATCTGGAAATAATTTTTGAAAATTGTTTGGGTTGCTTTTTATTTATTTTTTAATGGCCTTCCAGTTTAGAATACTCTTTTTACTCTTATATGTTTCATTCCTATTACAGTGTTTGCGTGAATAATCACATTGTGTCCCCCCCAAAAAAATAGCTCCCTGAAAATGCTACTGCCAGATGTGCTAGACTGCAGCTTTCATAATTTCCAGAGACCACTGGCTGCAATAGAGAATGGGGAGATAACAAGAAGGAATATCTGCCTTCACTTCCAACAGTTTCTTGATGTTCCACTCTACGCTGTAAACGGAAGGAGAGAGGAACTCAAAATGTGAGCCACAGAAGAATTTAAAGCCGTTCTACTCACTTAGTAAATCCAAGTGAACATTTTGTAGATCTAAGTGAATACTTCGAACAATTCAAAGTAAGACTACAGGTCAACGACCTTTTAGCAACCATTTGACATTACGAGGACACTGAGTGGATTGGTGGTTATGACTGATCCTTGGAGTTCTGCCTGTCCCAGCACCCCCACAGTCACGTGATCATAATCTGAGTACTCAGCAAACCACATTTTTTATTGGTTGCCAAGCACACTGCAGCCACATGCTCACCATTGCTACCTTCCATACCAATTTCCCCAGGAAGTCAAAGGTGAAGCTGGCAGGGAAGATTGCAGGTTGCTGGAATAAGCTTCCCTACCTGCACACCATCCCCCAGTCCCTCTACGTTTACACCATGCCAGCCTCTGGTGTGCCCAGAGTCCCCCTCCCCAGCCCATGTGGCTCCTCTTGTTTATCCCACCCACTCTTATGTACCTTCTCCAATCCACGCAGCATCTCTCATATCCCTGCTCACCCCTCCCATGTCATGCAGTACCTCTCATGCACCCTTCCAGATCATCCTCCACACCCCCATTCACCCCTTCACTCTCTCCCTCACCCAGCAGCAGCCATTTATCGGCCTGTAGGCCTGTGACTTGCATCTTCTTGGCAGCTTCTCCACTGACTTTGATTGTGGGAATTTGGCAGGAAGTTCCCTTACCTAATGATTGTAGGATTCAATTGACAAAGGCAACCGGGTCTTCAGAGATTGCTATCACTAAGCAATGCAATTCCACTTTAGGACTGCATTGCTTAGCATTGGAAATTCCAGGTCCAATTGCCATTGTAAGTTGAGGGCTATCTGTGCTGCTATTCTCATCCCACAGTTACAGTTTGCATTAGAAAAGGCATGGCAGTCATGCACAGAAGGGCAACTTCAGCAGCATCCTTACGTATCCTTGACTGGGATGTAAAATTTTAATCCTGCTCCAGTAAGATTAGTGGGACCTTGCCAGTAAATCCAGTAGGAGTAAAATGCAACACTCTGTGCTGTACAAAATGTGCTGCAGTTTAACTTCTGTATGCATTCATCAAAAAGCTGGAGAGGGAGAAGACATTAAACAAATAGTCAAGGCCACCATCCAAAGCTAGATGTGTCTACATCCCATTTAGAACATGATAGTCTTTTAGCAGCTGGACAGTCTGCTTTTATCTGAAACCACAACTAGAAAAACAATAATTGTCTTGGGGTGAATACATACTTTGCCTGAGACTTTCTTCCAAAACTTTAACCATTTGGCTTTCAAATGGATACCAGCTGACAAATCTGCACTGAGATGCAAAAGGCTCAAAATGGGAATGATAGTAAAATTGGTCCTCTAATTTGTCCAAAGAAACCTTGTGAATCCAGTCCTGTTTATTTGTTGAAGATTTAAAGCAAATTAAGCCAGGAGACCCCGTTTCTAAGAGGACAGTCAATTCCCAAACTTATAAAGGGGCAACTTTTTTTTTTACTATAGACATTTTGGAACTGGGGACAATCAGCATGTTATGATACAACTTCATCTTGATTTACCAAATGGCATATGCAGAATGCTATTTTTCTGTTAGAAAGATGAAAAGAATGTATTGGCTAATGCCATCCTTTGTTCACCAGGCAAATGCCAAGCCCTCATAAAGTCTGATACATTTCAATGAGCCACTTACTCACAAGTTGTGGGAATTTTTAAAGATTTGGGATTTATCATTCCAGTTTAATTTTTTGAGATCTTGGGCATTGGATACGATGTTGCCAATACTGCCAATCCAAGCAACACAACACATGGGCTGGTTGGCTGGGGGATTCTGGGGTTGAAGTTCACACATCTTAAAGTTGCCAAAGTTGAAAAACACTGATCTAAAAACACCTTTCCCAATCTAGCCCAGCAAAGGCTGAGCCTAGAGAGAAAAATCTCAGTGAGATAAAGAGTAACAACTGATAAAGTCAGTGGCAAACATCTGCTTTGTAAAACATGAAAATACAGTGAGGGGATGGGGAAAAAAGAATGTTATATTACACATTACAAAAAAAAACCCCGTGCACATAGCTATCCAAAGGAAAATCTGCATACGATTAACTGCAATGTCTAAAATTACCAACCTACAGCAATAGGTGTGAACATTTGTTAGAATTCTCGGCCATTATTGAATTATAGCTCTAACACATCTAGAAGGCATTAGGCTGTGAAAGACTAACCTAACCTCTTGAGTCATCCACTAGTTCCAGAGGCATGCAATGATAATCAAATAATATATCCCGATTCAGCAAAAAACACAAAATAAACCCAGTTGGCTATTGTAAGCAATACAAAATACAAAATGGTGTGTTCCCATGGCTTAAATGAAAAATAAGTGTTCTTGGTTTAGGATCAACACTGAAAAAGTGAGATGCCTATTTCAAAGTAATTCTTCAATTCACTACAATCAAGCAGAGAAGCCAGAATGAAGTGTGCTTAGAAGGATTCAAAAGTTGGGAGCCTTGTTTGAAGTTCATCATCCAAAGAGGATGACGACAAAGATGATTAGGGGACTGAAGGCTAAAACATGTAAAGAACAGTTGCTGGAATTGGGTATGTCTAGTTTAATGAAGAGAAGGACGAGGGGGGACATGATAGCAGTATTCCAATATCTCAGGGGTTGCCACAAAGAAGAGGGAGTCAAGCTATTCTCCAAGGTGCCTGAAGGCAGGACAAGAAGCAAGGGATGGAAACTAATCAAGGAGAGAAGCAACCTAGAACTAAGGAGAAATTTCCTGACAGTCAGAACAATTAATCAGTGGAACAACCTGCCTCCAGAAGTTGTGAATGCTCCAACACTGGAAGTTTTTAAGAAGAGATTGGACAGCCATTTGTCTGGAATGGTATAGAGCAGGGAGTTGGACTTCCAACTCTGTATTCTGAAGAAGAGATGTGGTGTAATCCAATGCACAGCCTAAGGGATTTGAGGTTCAAATCAGCTCCATACTATAAAAAAATAAGTGAAACATGTAAATGTAATATTTAAATTAGATTACAGTTACAACCTCCATATCTAACACATACATCTAACACTTTAAATATTACAATTTGGCAACAATTTAGAGAAGGGATTGAAAGAGGTAGAGTTTCAGGGAATATAACTTTTTTAAAATCCTGGCCTTGTTTCAGAATTGCAACAAGTCCATTCAAATTCAAAGGCAAACAAGTTTTTCTGTCCTAGTAAAGGGCAAATGTGGATAAGTAGGACAGATCTAACATAGCATATAGCAGATTGGTTAATAGATAGAGGAGCAGAGTTTTTTTTAATGGAATTAAAGATGTGTTTGACATACTGCTGTTTGAAATTTTATTCTTCTTGTCTAGTAGTACAGAACAAACCGGTTTTATCATTTCCAAGTATTCCATTAAGTCATCTGTAAAATTTAAAATTCACATATCCAGACATGAAAACTTAGAACTTACTTGCTGAGTTTACAGTTTAGAATAAATGGTGGTATTTTAAAGCCTTAGCCAAAAAGTAGATCTTTTCACATATAGTAGTTCTATTGACAGAAGTCCATATATTATAAAACAAATTCTTTTTTACTTGTATAATTCTATTGTTCAAAACTGAGCTTCCTACAAATGTACTGGAAAGAAAACCAACCTAAGTCACAGCTCATTTCCACAGCTTTCTTTGGATTGGGGGTTACTATTGGACTAATACATTGCAAAATTTCCTTTCAGCTCTTGGAATTATCAGAGAAGATCTCAGAAAAGATGCAAAGGGGAACAATGCAGATGTTTGGCTTGGCTCTTAGAAGTGAGGGGATGGCATTGTTTTCTGAAGCAGCTTTGAGCCATTGTCAAAGTAAAGGACTCCAAAAGTCTGCATGGCCCTATTGTGTAAGACAGTTGCTACATATGCAGGGAAGGCTCTGTATTACCCTCAGTTTTAATTTTGTCAATGCCTACTGTAACCAAACCTTGATGTCCATGCATCTGGAGAACATAAAAGTTTGGGGAAGGCTGCTGAAACATCTTCTCTTGGTATAGGATTTCCTGTCCCACTTCTTTTCTAGATTCTTTTAATTAAAGGAAAACCAAATAGAAAGCTGCAATGCTTCAAAGGGTCAGTTTCTAGAATCATCTTTATTTGCTCTATTGACATCCTTAGAAAATACAACTTGTGTTTGCAGCTCTGGGCTTTATTTGGAATGGGTAGTAAGCAGCCTCTTGATGACCAGAAGGAATGGGATATTTTTGCTGATAAATGGATATTTGATGGCTAGAAGGCCTAAAGTAACAGTCTTCTAATAACTATGCAAGCCTTTTTAGTGAGCATTTTAGGAAAGCGCCTCTGACTTGCTCTCGGAGTTTCAAATGTGCCCATTCCTGGTTTACATCTTGCCTTTCAAGCAATGAGCTTGAAAAAGGTAGACCTGTTCTCATCCATAAACTGATCTTC